CACCTCCAGTTCTGCCATGGCCGCCGCCGCTCCAGGCCGCAGGGCCTCTGCCCCCTCACGGAACGCGCGCTCCCCCGCCACGCATCGGCAGAACCCTCGAGCACAACACCCGAATCGGGCCGAAGAGTCCGCTCGACGCACTCTTCCGCTATGCACCCGGCGTTGATGTCGAATACCCTGAGAGCGGTGTCTACCAGCCGGTCGGACACCTGATTCCGGTCGACCCCGCGGCCGAGGAGTGGCCTTGGGTTGACTTCGCGTATTCGCGCGGTAGTCCAGAGGGCGGCACCGCCGAGCACGACTTCTTCTACACCCCGCTCCTCGTTGACGCGCAAGGAGTCCCAGTGCCTTGCAAGAAGCGCCACACAACATGTTCGCTCTCCCTCTCACTGCCATTTCCTCCATGCTGACTCCTTTTTTTCCCCAGGTCAAGGCGTCAAGGCCTGTCCACAGGGCGACACCGACGCGCTGAGTGGCCGCGAGCACTGGCACACCTCGGCAACGCGCGAAGACATCCAGCGGCGCTTGGCTGCTGACCGCCTCGCGCGTCAACGGTTCTCCTCCCCGAGGCGCGACATCTTCGTCAAGACCCAAGCGTACATCAGCGCAGTACGACGCATCGGCTGCCGGCGTGCCCCCCAGCAAGACACACACCGAACAGGCCCCGAGCTCGAGCAGTATCAGCGGGAGCAAGAGCTCAACGAGCACTTTCGCCGAGGGTACTCCGCGCCCGCCACCTGTCAGGGCCGCATCCTCTTCCACGAATATCCTGACGCCGCTCACCCTGGCGCCGCTCCCCGCCAATACCTCAGGTGCGCATTTCCAGCTACTCTTCGAATCCTGTCTGATTCCCTTTCAGCTGCGAGCATTGGTCGCGTCGCACACCTGACCATTTCGTCGACTTCACCATCCGAAACGCCGGGTACGACGTCGATCACATCGCCGCTCATTTCCTTGGCCATAAGGACGAGCTCGCCCGCATTGAGGAGGCCGCTGCTGCGCAAAATATCGGTCCCTTGGCCGTTTGCGACACCCTGCTCAATTTTTCCGCCAAGACGCTCTGTTGCCGTGAGTTTCCCTGCTCTCTTTTCCTTTGTTCATCGTCGTTGAGCTCACGTTTTCCAGCCGTCGACCACCGCCTGAACGGCCATCTAACCCGTGTCGAACTGTGCCACATCCCGTGCGAAGTCAAGTTTCGCATCTGGGTACCGGTAAATCTTCAAGCCTGCCCCTTCGTACTCGTTACCTCCAAGGGGACGCACCAACACCCCGTCCCCCTTCCCGAAAGAACTCCGCAGGGGGCGCGCGTCCAAATCTTCCGCCTACTGCGCACGCTTCGCCAGGATCTAGCGGACTTGACGGCTCGCCGCTTCCTCAGGCATCCCGCCCTCAAGACCTTCCTGATGAACAAGTTCCCCGGCGTCGCCGTCCCCACCCTCACCACTCTTCACCCCTCTCTCGCTAACCGCGCACACCTCGGGTCTTACATCGCGCGCGCGCGATTGGAACAGTTCCCAGTCGGGACAGATTGGCGCGGTATGTCTCCCAGACGTATTTTTCTCGCTCGCGCCTCACTGAGACCGCCGGCCCGCAGGCATCAAGCACCTCAAGCACCTGCAGGACACCACGCTGCCGCCCCACCTGCACTACATCCGACTTGTCCTCGAGATCGAGGACAACGATCTTGATCACCACGACGACGACGATGACGCGCCCACCAGTGAGAAGACAACACGGATTATAATCTGCATGGCCCCCGATTCCAGCAAGCGTCTCAGCAGGGCCCAATACCTGCAAAGCGACATTGGCTTCAAACGCATCGTGGGCTTCGACGAGTTTGAGATCGCATCCATGGACCGTGACGCCAACACCAGTGAGTTCTCCTCCATCCCAATCTTCTCCGTGCTTCCGCGCTTAATTCCATGGTACAGGTGTGGTATTCTGCCGTGTATACCTCACCCGACACACCGCCGCCGCCCACCGGATCATATTTCGCGAGATCAACAAAATCGTGCAGCAAGACACGGGCAGGCCGCTATATTGGCGTCACCTGCACGGCGCCTCCGTGGACGATTTCAGGGTGGGGCTGATACTTCACTGGGGGGCTGATCAACACCGCGGACAAGCCAAAGGTACGCACACGGGCACCCCCTTTCCCGCAGGCTAAATAAAAGGCGGCAGGACTCGGGCTCCATCTCGTGGATCGAGCGGCGGAGCTCTCAGTCGATGCCATGGACATGCACGAGCCCCACCGCTCGCTGCGTTCCCTCACTCCGTACGAGCACCTTCGCCGCGTGTACCGCCTCTGCGTGGTACACAATTACCGCAATATCCAGCAATGCGCGGTCCCCGAACACGTTCGACAGCTAATGCGTTCGCTGGCGTGCGTCCAGCACGACAACTGGGATGGGACGATCTCCAAGATCCTCAGCGACGGCGGCAAAGCGGCCTTCGGTGCGTCCTCGTTCACTGGACACCTTCTGCTTCTCACCGCTCTCACAGATTGGGTGCGAGATAAAGAAAGCTGCCAATTTGCGTTCCCAGGCATCTGCTGGGAACGCAGCTTCATCCCGCTCGACGTCTGGACCGCCGGCGAACCGAACACGAACCTCATCGAGACGGTGCATCGCGACGTCAACCGAGAGGGCGTCCATTGTACCCTCGTCGGCGGCGTACTGCGCGGCCAAGATTACGATGAGCTGCAGCGCTCAGCCCTCATGGTGCGTGATTACCACGCCGACGCGCTTTGCTTCAGCTCATCCCGTTGTCGCAGGAATACGAGCAGCACGGTATCAAACCCTCGTACCGCGCCGTCAACCCCATCATCAACGCGGTCAAGAACGTTAAAAGACGAGGTCAGTACATTTCCTTTTCACCTTCCGATGCCTCGAACGTCAACCTTCCCACAGGCATGACCCAAGTCAAGCGCGTCCAGACCTCGGCGCTCGCTGTCTCGACTCACAATGCCGCCATGAGCAAGTATCACCAAAGACTCGGCGATGCTCTGCAGCGACTTGACCGTCTGAACGTGCTCGTAGGCGGCCCGCTACTCCCGACCCCCCAAGCCCAGGCGGAGCTGAAGCGCCAAATCGCGTCGGCCACCGTGGACTGCCGACAAGCGACCATCAAGTACGATCAGCAAGTACTTGTGGGCCAGCAGTTGCGCCAAGCAGGCAACGCCGGGGTTTCCCTTCCCTCATCATAGCAAGTAATGTACGGCCCTTCTGAAAATACGCTGAAAATACGCGCTTTATTGGCTCCAACGTCCGTACGACGCCCGGCAACGCCTCAGCGCGTGTCCCGCCCATCCGTTCCCGCCCATCCACGTGTTCGGCTATTGCCGGACAGGTGATCCCCGTGCAGCGACTTCTGCTTCTCAGAACCGCCACGCGGATTCCATCTCCTCAACTGCTCATCATCTCCTCGACTCGTTTCCAGCTCGTCAACTCGTTTGCAGTCACCTTTGCCATACTGTGGCTCCTTCATGTCCTATGTTCCCCTCGGCCTCGATTGCTCCTCTGGCGGCGTATCGGTTTCTCCACCTGCCACGGTCACGTCCAGTGGCGCGCCATCGCCAACATCGACTTCCGCCATGCCCAGCAACCAAGGTGGCCGCACCCTTCTCATTCTGAGATTCCGTCTAATTAATCACTTCTCAGAATGGAATTCACGACTTCATCTCCTCGACTCGAACTGTGCCTGGAATTTTTCTCTCCCTTTCCACTACGCATCGCCTTTTTGCGTCCATATCGCGGTCTCCCTTTCTTGTGCTCACTCTTCATTCCCCGCCTCGCCGTTTCGATGTCGCTCCACTGGTGACGGCCAAATCCAGTGGCGGCGTCGACGTCAACTTCCGCCTTTCTACGCAGCAACAAAGGTCGCCGCCGACTTCTCATTCAGGCCCCCTGCCTCATCCACGGAACTCCTCGCAATTCAGACAGTCCGATTTCCGCCGCGCGTGTCCCCATAAATTGTGAGCCCCTCAGCCCCCAATTTTCGCCTACCCACGATGACCCAAACTCAATACTATAGTGCTCCTCCTCAGGCTAACACCAACCTCCCCACCTCCAACGCCGCTGCTTCCGGCGGCCTCGCCGCTGCCAGCACCGCTCCCGCCAACCCCGTCTTGCAATGGCAGCCCGCGAACATCGTCCCCACCGCGCCCCCTACCCTCTGCGCCGACGGGCGCTGCGACATCTGCAAGGCCCAGCACCTCGTTGTTTCCAATCACGCCCACGGACCTAATGGGCCGCATACCGCGCCACTTCCTCACCGGCGCACTTGCACCCCGATTTTCAGCCCCGACCACCCCGGCATCGACGTCCAAACTCACTCGCTTGAGGCGGGCTCCGTGTTTTACACTGCCCTGCCCGCTCGCAATGAGGCCATCTATACCAGCGCGTATGTATCATTCTATTCATTGGCATCTACCCCTCCGCTCACGAGCTCTTCCAGGGAAGCCGCCCGCGAGCAAGTTGAGGGCATCCACAACGGCGTCTCAAAGTCCGCAAAGACTTGGGACGAGGCCAAGGGACTGTGGGTGCTCGGCTGTTTGCGCTGGCACGGCAATGAGTGCCGCCGTGAGCGTCTTCAACGCGCCGATGCCACGGGCAAGAGCTGGGCGGTTCTGGGAACCGACATAATCTGCGGATCCCGGTAAGTTCCTTCTCGTTCCACTCTCCACCCTCCTAATTTACTTTGCCAGAGCCGCCGCCTTCCGCATCGCCCAAGACCACGGTTTTGACGACATCCGCATCCGCGGCCACCGCAATGCGTCGGTTCTCCGCAACTGGCTCCAGAACGGCAGCAGCAGCGAGGAGGAGGACTAGGGTCTGCCAAACGCCGGGCGGGAGGGTGGGACCATCATGTTTTGCGCGCGCTGCACCGTATTCTGTACCGACTGTTTCTTGTTAATGTATTTTTTGCGTTATCAGTTTTTTTTTGAGCAAGGAGATCTAAAAGGACGTCAATCGATATAACTATGGTTCAGCGACTTACAAGACCCTCTGGCCCAATGGTAGCGCTGAATCCTGAAAGTTTGTATAGCCCCGTCGCATCCTGTGGTGAGGCACCCGGTTCGAATCCGGGGTGCGTCGTTTTTTTTGCGTACAAGGTCAAAATTGTTATTATGAAATAAAATAAAAAAAGTACAGGCTACGTTCTCAATAAGCAAATGCAGCCACTCGCGTCTCGGTTGAATGGGAGAGGGAAGAGGAGGGACGGCGGGCGGGCGAAAGAGGAGGGGCGGGGGGCGGGCGAAAGAGGAGGGGCGGGGGGCGGGCGAAAGAGGAGGGACGGGGGCGGGCACAAGAGGAGGGACGAGGGGCGGGCACCAGGCACAAGAGGAGGGACGGCGGGGCGGGCACAACAGGAGGGATGGCGGGGCGGGCAAGAGAGGAGGGACGGGGGCCGGGGAAAAGAGGAAGGAGGGGAGGAGGAGCAAGGAAGGAAGAAGGGAGGAGGAACCCTTACCCCGACCAACGTCCTCCCGCGCCGATCGACGTCTTCCCGCGCTATTAGCTCGTTGACGGCGCTCGTTCGCGTGCTCTCCGCTTCCCGCCACCCGCTCCCTATCCGCGTATATTGGTCTCCCGCCCGCTCGTCGCCGCTTCCCGGTCGTCCTGGGCGCTGCCGTCACCGCCTCTCGTCCTCTGCGCTGCGCTCTGCGCCGACGCACGTTGTTGTCGTTTGCGTCGACGCTCGTTGTCGCCACCGTTTTGTCACCTTCCGCCCGCTCGTCGTCCGCGCCGAATCGTATCGCCGCCGTTTTGTCACCTCCCTCCCGCTCGTCGTCCGCGCCGAATCGCGTCGCCGCTTGCTGTCCGCCACTACATTGTCTTTGTTGTTGGCGTCGGCGCTCATTGTCGCCGCCGTTTCGTCGATTCCCGCCCGCTCTCCGCGCCGAATCGCGTCGCCACTTGCTGCCCGTTCTGGTCGCCGCCGCCCCCCGTTGTCGTTGTCCGGGCCGCCGCTCGTGCTGATCGCCGCCTCCCGCCCTCTGCGCTGCGCTCTGCGCCCGCTTGTCGTCGTTGTCCGGGCCGCCGCTCGTGTTGATCGCCGCCTCCCGCCCTCTCCGCTGCGCTCTGCGCCCGCTTGTCGTCGTTGTCCGGGGCGCCGCTCGTGCTGATCGCCGCCTCCCGCCCTCTGCGCTGCGGTCTGCGCCGGCGCTTGTTGTCGTTGTCCGCGCCGCCGTTTGTCCTGGTCGCCGCCTCCCGCCCTCTGCGCTGCGGTCTGCGTCCTCTGCCCATTAGTTCTCATCGTCTTCCGCCCGCCCCCTCATCCACTGCACTGCGCTGAGCGCCTGCGCTCTGCGTTCTGCGTGTGCACTCTGCGCCTGCGCACGTCCTTGCCGCTGCTGGATCGTCCGTCCACTGCGGTCGCGCTTGTTCTCGTCGCCGCGGCTGCTGCTCGTCGCCGCCGCTAGTTGTCTGCCCATTCCCAATTCGCGTTGTCGTCGCCGCCGCTCGTTGTCGTCGCCGCCGCTCGATGACGCTCAGCCGCCAGCAGCGCTTAGCGCCCTTCTTCGCCGCACGCAGCGCCGCCGGCCCCCAACCCGCGTTCGGCTCGCTAGCGCATCTGTGAGCTGGCTACAGCCCGTGCTTATTTCAGTGCTTATTTTTTCAGGGCCGATCCATATGATGACGCACCTGGTTCTGTGTATTTCCTGGGACGCGTCAACCGCCGCATTCGGCGGGCCTACAAGAAACATATTATTTCGCGGTCAGCCTACCTCGCGTCGAAGGAAGTGAAGGCCGGCCATTCCAATAATTTTCTGCGCCGTCGGCGCGCGTATCGCAAGTGCGAGAAGGATTGGGCGTTGACCTGGAGGTTTACAATCCACACGCCGACGCGCAAATTAGTCGGTGAGTGCTCTAGATTCCAATGACCTTCCTCTTTCAACGCACGCTCCAGAGGCTTTGATACACGAGGACCTTCGCCAGCATAGGGCGGCCCGCGTCCCCTGCTCATGCGTAGTTTGCCACTTGGAATTTTATCCTGGACATGCTGTCGGCGGCGTGCGTGGTCTTGTGGACAATGGAGTAGAATGGATGCGTCTTCTGGGTCAAGTCGCTGTAGTTCAGTCAATCCCTTAGCATATTCTGGCTGTTACTTCTTTCCGTGTAGTGTTCCCACATTATATCCAAGAATGCGCATTTGCGCTTTGATGATTGGCGAGCCGATACATGAAATTTACATTATCTATCAGGTCGGAGATAAGAACGTGAACAAAAAATGCAGCAGATCCACTCACCACGGATTCACTGCGACTTTTGAAGAAATCGTCTTTCCCTACTCTCGGTGCATTGCTTCGTCCATGGTCTCTGCGTTGCTCTGAGCGACAATGTTATCTCGTTGGGCGCTGTTCGTACCTGAGACCGAGTTTACTGGACAGTCCTCTTCCGCCCGGCGGTGCTCGCCACTCTGACCCTTCGCTTTGTCCTTGCCGCGCGGTTTGCGACCTTTGACATGGCGGGAATCCTGTTTCGGCAATTCAAAAGGTGGGGACAGCAGTTCCAAAACCTTCCGCGCACAGTAGAATTTGCCAAGCCAGAGAGCCCCAGTTCTTCTTCGGCGACGCGCAGTTCAGCAAGGAATGACTTGTGGTCATCTTGACCGTCCAGTGGCGTTGCGAATGATTCGTGGTCGTCCAGCGGCATTGGAAGGTTTTGCGGGGAGCGGGGAGTAAGTGGCAACGGAAGGTTTTGCGGAGAACGGGGAGTAAACGGGGAGCTGTCCCTTTCGAGCTTCAAGATGAGTTTCGGTTGAGAGGACATCCGGCGGTGCTCGCCACTCTGACCCTTCGCTTTGTCCTTGCCGCGCGGTTTGCGACCTTTGACATGGCGGGAATCCTGTTTCGGCAATTCAAAAGGTGGGGACAGCAGTTCCAAAACCTTCCGCGCACAGTAGAATTTGCCAAGCCAGAGAGCCCCAGTTCTTCTTCGGCGACGCGCAGTTCAGCAAGGAATGACTTGTGGTCATCTTGACCGTCCAGTGGCGTTGCGAATGATTCGTGGTCGTCCAGCGGCATTGGAAGGTTTTGCGGGGAGCGGGGAGTAAGTGGCAACGGAAGGTTTTGCGGAGAACGGGGAGTAAACGGGGAGCTGTCCCTTTCGAGCTTCAAGATGAGTTTCGGTTGAGAGGACATGAGTGCTGACGACAAAGAACGGTGATGGAATCACATCACTCTGCATAGCCACTTCACTTCCCGACTTACCATTACCACAAACAACCAGCCTCGCCCACGGCGCACGCAGCGCACCTAGGCCTACGTTTTGCGCTGTGGGCGAAGAACCCGGGGGCGATTTTTCCAGGCGCTGCACGCCGAGTCGCAGGTGCACCTTTTTTTTTGACTCTTTTTTTCTTCTCGTCGTTTCGTTAAGTTTTTATCCGTTAAGCTAGATCCCTCTGGAACAAAAGAAGCCACACTGTGGCCACGTCAGCTGGGACTGCAGCCCGCAGCACCAAAAACGCTTAATCCAGTACCACCACCACCACCGCAATGTCGAGCGCCCCAACCCGTACCTTGCGCAGCGCCGCCACCCGTGATCTCCGAAGCACTCCCACCCATAGTCTGCGCAGCGGTGACAAGCCCAGGGAGGCGCCCGCACAGAGGCGTCGCACCATCGCACGGACCTCGCGCCAAAGCATCGGCCGCGCCGTTCCTGGACCCAGCCCCGCGCCCTCCGTGCAGCCTCAGGGGGAAGGCCCCGACTGGCGCCACCGTTGGTGGTGGTGTATCAACGGTCCTGGCTTCGTCATGATCACTCGCGATAGGTACGCCCGCCTCTTTTTTATGTTGCTCTGCCTGACGCGAAGCTGCCAGGAACCGTGTTGAGGGCGTCGTCCGTAATCTGACCCTTGGCGTCGTGTTCCGTGTCACTTTCAAGGGGGCGGTCGCCCAAGCCCGCCAGTATCTTGCGGTTGCCCCAGACGCGCGCCTCGTTTATGCGTTGCCTGACGGGGGAGTTCAATCCACCGAGTACGTTGCCGTTTAGTGAACTCATCTGCCGCTAACGCTGTTTTCAGTCAACCTGCGTACGAAGCTTACTTGAAAGTCGAGAAGCGGGGCTCCGTCCTTTGCTGTGGGCGGGACCTCTCCTCCCTCCTTGCATATATGGAGATGATCATCGCCCCCGAGGTCTGACGCTAGTTTGAGATCTGATACTTTACCTACAAAAGCTGTGAATCGATGTACAACCATGATATATATGAAAGTGTTGCAATAATTATGGGAGAACAACTAAGTTAGTCCCCTAACTTACGCCAAATTAGAGCGTGTTAGGGATTCCCCGTTCGCCAACTGGAGTCAGATCACACCAAGTTAATGAATATCAAATTCTGATTGTCGCTAACTTGGGTCTCCGTGCGCGTCGCTCGAGCTGTCCTGGACGCTCGTGGGCTCTTTCCTATCAGCTGTCTCTGCCAAGTGCATTCACTATATGTTTGAGTACTTGACCAATTTTTTGGGGAATTTACGCGCTCATTTTGTCGACCCAAAATGTCTCGATGGGGAGTATTAGCGAAGTAGGACTTGCGCCTGGGAGTTTGTATTTATGTCTTGTCAATTCTGCCCGCTCTGTATAGACTTTGTCTTGTATGCCTCTTGTATTGCTACCCACTCTGCAGGCAATGTACTACGTTTTGTAACATTTTCTGGACTTGTAGTTTTTCGGACTGGAAGTTTTTATTTTATTTTCTTTTTTGAGAAACAAGGCCATGTAGCGGACTTGAAGCCCTAGCCTGTAAATCGGCGTCTGGCGGACTCAGCTGAGGCGCCCTTGGTATTGCACGTGGTGATCTCAAGGTCACTCGTTCGACTCCGCCAGTGTCTGTTTTGCACTATTTCTTTTTCGTTGACTAGTTCCCATCTGCATCTAGTTAGCGAAGATCAGTCCCTAACTTGGGGCAGATCAGAGTCAGTTAACGAAGATCATTCCCTGATTGTCGCCAACCCGCTGTCTTCGACGGTCTCCGTGTTTGGCGGTCGACATGCCCTCCACGCCCGGGAGCTCTCTGCCTGTGCTCGCCTTTGGGAACTTCATTCATTACTCCTTCTGCATCTCGCCCAATTTCTGGAGCTTTTTACAAAATCTTT